AACTTAAGTTTATTTTTCTGACTACTAAATATGCAACTAATAAGCCCACCATTTGTCGTGGAAATATCTACACCACTTTAGATAAAGAATGTCGTGTAAAATATAATTCGTAATATTACGAATGTCGGAAAAGAATTACTAGCTGGTCTTTATCACAAACGTTTAATTGTATTTTAGAAGAGGAAATGAGCTCAAAATCAGCAATTTTATTGACATAATTTCAAATATTTTGTCTCGAACAAGGGAACAAAAGTGATGAGTTGGATGACCAAGCGAGTGACAGCGGTTTTAAAAGATAAGTGGAGCCTTCTTGATAAACAACTGAAACAGTAGGCAAAAACAATCTAGACACTTCCACGCAGCAGACAGCAACGGAGTTAATTGAAATGTACTCACGTTATTTTTATCACTCACCTTATTTCGTACTCTTGTCCTAAGTAGCATGACTGTCTTAGTTATACTACGAATAACTAAGGGCACTCTTTGGACGTTGGTTGCATACCCAGTTTTCCGGCATTCTTATAAAAGAATTCTTCATGTGGAAAAGAATCATTTTGAAATTGGCTGTTTGGGTTTTCTTTGAAAGCTTTCAAACGTCCCTTACAGCTCGGCGAGTTTCGTAGATGGAAAACCAAGCAACCGAAGTAATAAGAAATACGAGTTACCATCAACTGTGGATCGAAAAGCCTATGCTAATGCTTTAAAGTCGGAGCTAGAGATGACATTCCTCAACTATCGCATGAATCATTCGATTGATAAGGTCATCAGAATAATTTCACTGGTCAGTGCCCGCTTCAGTAAGTTATAATTTTTCGCCATCCATCATGGACCTGCATCTATGATTTATCTAAGAGAGCAGTCATAGCCTTCATTAGATAACAAAGCAAAAACGAAGTTTTCTCATGGTTTAAATTTTTTGCTTAACAACATTAATTTCTCTCACATATGTTATCTAGAACACCATGACTGTTGTTATTAAGGTCATATCCAGAGAATATTTGCTTAAAACACAACAAGACCTTAATGTAGCAGTTTATGATTAAGTTAGACATTGATAGGCCTTGAAAACTCAGGTCAAGCAGGTAAATCAATCAGATTCATGCGCAATGAGAATTTGCTCCTTACGGGTGATATCTGTGTGACCAGAAATGCGCAAAATCCAGTTTGATATAACATGTTTACAGCCTAATAAAACACATTGTACAAAATAGAAACTTAGTGCTAACTTAATTAGNGGAGCTATTTAACAATTATTCCACGAGCGCGCGTTGGATACGAGATGATAACGTAGCGCCGAATTGGCTATAATCATCTTATATCCAACAAACGCGAGTGGAATAATTGTTTTATTCAAAAGGCTACATTAAGTTATCAAATTTTACTAAATTTTTAGCTCCCTTTCAATTTTAAGCTTATGCGTATGCTTACCATATCTTAGTTTATGGCTCATATACTATAATGGCTTAGTTTAGGGCTCATATAATGGCTTAGCCAATGAAAAGTCTTAAATTGCGTTATCCAATGATCCAGTTTTTAATTATGTTATTTATTAAAAACTGAATCACTGGATAATGCAATTCAAGACTTTTTATTGGCTTAGCCATTATGGTATATGAGCCAATATACCATAATCTAATATCTGTACATTGTAACATCCGGTTTCCTTTTACAAAAAAAGTCTAAAAGATTTGTCTAATATCTTGGTTTTTTTTTTTAATTAAACAATTATTCCACTCGCGCTTGTTGGATATTAGATGATTATAGCCAAAGCGCCTCGTTGGCTCTCTATCATCTCATATCCAACGAGCGCTCGTGGAATAATTGCTAAATACCCAACTACACTTCGTAGAGTACCCGCGCGGTCATGTAATGTTCTGTTTATTCTTTAGATACTGAAGAAATTTCAAAGTTAAATACACCTTTTTTTAATCATTTTCGAAAGAGCAAAACAGTGCAATTAAAGTGGTCACCTATCGCAAAATGCCTGTCACAAAAATGTTATAAAACTCGTATATAAACTTATAAAGGAAAAATAAAGACAATAATACTTATATTTTCTGTTCCAAAAAGAAATTACAAAAGAACCGGCCGCGCACCTGAGCGGAAAGCTCTCTTGTAATTGGCTAATCATGTTAGCTCAATTGGTTAGAGCGCCGGATTGTGTTGTGTGGGAGGTCGAGGGTTCGAGCCCCGGCCTGACCAATCAGATACATATGCAGTGTGAATTTTTATTAAAGGGGGTAATATTTGCGTGACCAGAAACGCATAGAAGCCAGAAATATTGTACAAAGGCTTTGTGTCAACTTAAGTTTATTTTTCTGACTACTAAATATGCAACTAATAAGCCCACCATTTGTCGTGGAAATATCTACACCACTTTAGATAAAGAATGTCGTGTAAAATAGAATTCGTAATATTACGAACGTCGGAAAAGAATTACTAGCTGGTCTTTATCACAAACGTTTAATTGTATTTTAGAAGAGGAAATGAGCTCAAAATCAGCAATTTTATTGACATAATTTCAAATATTTTGTCTCGAACAAGGGAACAAAAGTGATGAGTTGGATGACCAAGCGAGTGACAGCGGTTTTAAAAGATAAGTGGAGCCTTCTTGATAAACAACTGAAACAGTAGGCAAAAACAATCTAGACACTTCCACGCAGCAGACAGCAACGGAGTTAATTGAAATGTACTCACGTTATTTTTATCACTCACCTTATTTCGTACTCTTGTCCTAAGTAGCATGACTGTCTTAGTTATACTACGAATAACTAAGGGCACTCTTTGGACGTTGGTTGCATACCCAGTTTTCCGGCATTCTTATAAAAGAATTCTTCATGTGGAAAAGAATCATTTTGAAATTGGCTGTTTGGGTTTTCTTTGAAAGCTTTCAAACGTCCCTTACAGCTCGGCGAGTTTCGTAGATGGAAAACCAAGCAACCAAAGTAATAAGAAATACGAGTTACCATCAACTGTGGATCGAAAAGCCTATGCTAATGCTTTAAAGTCGGAGCTAGAGATGACATTCCTCAACTATCGCATGAATCATTCGATTGATAAGGTCATCAGAATAATTTCACTGGTCAGTGCCCGCTTCAGTAAGTTATAATTTTTCGCCATCCATCATGGACCTGCATCTATGATTTATCAAAGAGAGCAATGATAGCCTTCATTAGATAACAAAGCAAAAACGAAGTTTTCTCATGGTTTAAATTTTTTGCTTAACAACATTAATTTCTCTCACAGATGTTATCTAGAACACCATGACTGTTGTTATTAAGGTCATATCCAGAGAATATTTGCTTAAAACACAACAAGACCTTAATGTAGCAGTTTATGATTAAGTTAGACATTGATAGGCCTTGAAAACTCAGGTCAAGCAGGTAAATCAATCAGATTCATGCGCAATGAGAATTTGCTCCTTACGGGTGATATCTGTGTGACCAGAAATGCGCAAAATCCAGTTTGATATAACATGTTTACAGCCTAATAAAACACATTGTACAAAATAGAAACTTAGTGCTAACTTAATTAGTTTTCTGACTAAACATTTCAGTCGTGAGCCCACCATTTCATAGTCCAGACTCTATTTTGAATAATTTAGCCCATGCTTAGGGGTTTAGAAGTGTTTACACCAACGCAATATAAGAAATCTAAAAAAAAAGAGTTGGTGGCCTCTTCACGATTACTTCTCACACTCTTTCCTTTGGTAAGGGGTTGTTACTTTTGTCCGAAACGTTTTAGTTGAACTGCAAAACATTTCAGTTTTGAACCCCCTCGATCTCGTTTCCGTGCAACTCGCCCCAGTTTTTACCGATTATTTTGTACAGCGGCTTTTATGTTTAAGTACTTCATATATGGTAATTAAGATGTGTCAAAAATCAATATGGCAGCAGAAGTAAAATGAAAACAAACCACTCGAAGGAGCATTTTTGCCTAAGTAATGGCTCTATTTCTCGCATTTCGCATTTCTTGAAAATGACACTTTAAAAATTGAAAAGGCCACGTGTTAAGGGACGTTTTCGGAGCGAAAAAACGATTACTTTGCGAGTTAAACCTCTTACCTTTCGGATAAGATGAAGTGGCAACCGAATCGGTGCAACTGTTTCCTTGTAGCAGACTAAAAAAAAACCACGCAGGTAAGCCCTATTTTAAGCGATAAGAGACAGAGGAAGTTGTAGCTATTATATAAGGTTATTGGAATGAAAACACACCGTCGAAAACCAGTTTTTTCGAACTTTTCTTTCAATTGAAATACGGCTCGAACTTGACCCTCTCTATTTTGATGATGGGGAACGTTGAGTTTCTGGCAGTAAGGGCACAAAATGCGAAATATTTCTATTTCCCCATTTTTTCCTTAATACTTCGCAGCCATATTGAATCCACATTTCAGCGCTTAGCGTGTGCTCGCAGCCATTTTGGCAGCCATCTTGTGTAGGATTTCTGGTTACGCTAACAATCGCCCTAACTTAACTCATGAACGTGTTAGATGCTAAGCCGGCTATCTCGCATGAATTTTTTTGTTTCTTTCAGTGCATTCAAAGCAATAAATTTGACAACGTCAGATAATTAAATAAAACAGTACCTTGCTGAGAAAAAGATCTTGAAGAGAAACAACAAAAGTTGAGTACCGTTTTACCGCTGTGAGTATTCCAGCAATAAAATAGCATTCTGTTAATTATTTCAGAAGGCAATGGAAGTAACCGCTTCTTATCCTTTAATATGAAAATGACGTTACACCTCGAGAGATGAAGCTTTAGTGAGCTTCTTTCAGCTTTAATAAAGCGATGGAAGATGATGATTGTCGTATCGTTCCAATGACTTTTCACCCTTATCAGTCTTACTATGGACTGGAACCGAGATTGGTAAAGCAAAACGGACAGAACTATGTTGGTCTTTCACAGCAAAGTGGAAGAGCTCTCGGGTATTGGAAATAATTAACTATGACACGAGGCCAGGAAGAATTTAACGCATGCAAGGCGAGAGGTATATCTCTAATATCTTGAAGACGGGGGAGAACTATCATAATACGTGACCAAGGGGAGTCCAAGGTATGCCTCAACCTTCTGTTGACTGCAGTTATAGTCTTGGAAACGCCAAAAAGAACAAACAGTGGCATTATCAAAGTGACTTTCATCTGGGAAAGAACAGAAAACCTTTAGTCAGACTTCTGACCTGAACTGCTACTCACAACTACTGTTAACTGCTTAATGATAATTACGTAAATGTGAGACTGACACCAGTTGATATGAATATCGTGTTCGGATAACATGATATTCATCTGGCTTAACGTAAGCAGTAGCGAAGCTGGCTTTCCTTTTAGTCCGGAAAATAACTACTGCCCATAAATCGGACAGCCTTAAGCTGAAATTTTTATTATTCTTCCACACTCTACTTTCTTAACGCTCTTCAAAGGCTACTAAATTAAACTGTGACAAAAGAGCCCTTCTATTTTAAAAGTTTTTTGCTAAATATTTATTGGACAGTCGTGATCGATTGATTTCGCATTCATTTCTCATATTGATCAGCAGAGTTGTGGGCTATAATTAACACCTGATAACGGAAATCACTCAGTCTCAAATACCAGCTGCCTCGAGTTACTCACTGCACTTCAAATCCTCTACTGTCAAAAATATTAAAGAACGAACTTTGACCTGTAAGTTATCACGTTATCAGTTTACAACTACAACTGGGCGTTGTTTAGGATGTCTGTTGTGTCGTATTTTGTAATGATAGTTGCACTTTCTAATAACACTTGTCGCGCTTTGTAATAACTCCCATGCTATATCTGGGCTCCTGGGATCTGGTCTGTAAGGAAACTTTAGACACTTACCAATCGCGCACGAAAGTTTTCCCAAAAAATAATCAGACGCTTCACAAATTGACTTCTTTATGTGGGATTACCTGTTGGTAATCATTCATGATGAAAGATTTGCCTATAGGAGAAGTTACGTAATACAAAAGGCCTACTTTTTAGGGAGGAATGGGGTTTTGGTTAGTTTCAGTTTGTTATTTCAGCCTTTCTCTAATGAGCTTTAAGTACATTACGAAAAGTTTCTGCTTTCTCGCTTATTTTCTCAAGTTCACCTCCACTGAAAATGAATCGGAAGGCCAGAATCTTAAGAATATATATATAAAAAAAAGGACGAACAAAAAAGAAAACAAAACAGCTAGTGATGGTTCCCTTTTTCACCTCCTGCCTTTGTAAGGCATAAAAATAAAAGAACACGGTCAGGGGAAATTCTGGAACAGCATCTATATTTATTCGTTTTTTCTTAAGGGAGTAGTGTTGACAGAATATGGTCACCACTCAGTTTGACCTGTTGCTACCTGACCGACAAAACATGGAGAGAAGCTTATGGCCATGTTCTTCGCCTACCACGAATAAACTAGGAGAACAGATTCCTTTCTTAAGATTGGCAGAAGAGTGTGACAGTTTTTGGAACAGTATGCGGCAACTCAATACCCGATGCAGTTCATTAGTTATAAATAGAACGAGGTCTCTTCAAAGATCAAGTTATGGACTGATCATGTGATATAAGTAATTCTTATACTGTTCTGCTGTATTTCCACCAGTTAATCTCTTATGAAAAGTCAAATATGACAGAAAAGCTGCTACTCAGTCATGACATTGTATTTTTGTAAATAAGTCCACTTTGAATAGCAGCAGGGTTGATTAGTAGTCATCCATTGTTGTTCTTTGTTTTACTGGAGAATAGCGAACCTCGTTGGAATGTAGAACCACACAGTTGTCTCACTAGCAAGAGTAACCGTTTGTTTTTTTTCAATGCTGTAACCCTGACTTGAGCGGAGTTGCGGAGTTTAAACTGCTTACAAATGTAAATATGACTGCCATATTTCCTTTTCCTTTAATGTTTTCCATCGTCTTGATTGTTCTCTGTTTTTCTTTCCTTCCCAGCTGGAGATCTTGCTTTTAGCTCACCTGTTAAAACTCAACGGATTCAAAAAAAAAAAAGAGAGAGAAAGAGAAAAATAACTAGCTAGAAAGAACCTGTTTTGAATCTGTTATGACATGAGAAAGCTACACTTCGCAGGCTCTATAGTACGTATAGATCTCACGATACATTCAAGCGACACGTTCGTCCCCTATCTTTCATCCTAAATGGTCCCAACCGCATCTGTGAAAGCCCATGCTTTATTACATATGACATGTTCTCTTTTCAAACTAACCGCCGATCTATGAAAAGCTGATAAACGCCAGAAAATTAAAATGATTCTTCCATCTTAAGATTGACCCTTTCTGAACTGATTACTGTAAGAAGATTTACTGATCCCTTGCCTGATTGAAATCTTATCCAGTCTTAAAACAAAATTCAAGGCACCTTGTGTAATTCGCGTGATATACCCGTTGTTTTTTGCGTAAAAGGAACCCAACCATGGTGCACAGTCCTATGAACACGAACGGTTGCTCATTAGCTCCTACCGTGAACTGAGATGTGTTCTTCGCCCAAAAACATATCACAGCTTTGCGTGATAGGCAAGGAATTGATCGCAAGCCTTTACCCAGGTGTTGTAAACATTGTTTTCTGTTTACACTGACTCGTGAAAGCCAAGGTCAAGGAGCAAGGAACGAGAAAGAACAGTCAAATCGTTACTTTAGCAAGTGGCACAGCTATATGCCTTTATCTTCTAATGTGAATAGACTTTACCAAAACAAAGCTAGATTCATTCGACAATGGGCTCATCCTTCTTCGAAAAGAATAATTACTGCCTTCAGGGAAATTCGTGATGAAATGGCTCAGTTTGTGGTAAGTTTCTCAAAGAGCAACATGCACAGCCGGTATTCTCTATTTGCCATATTAAGATCGATTTTTCCTTCTAAAATGGTCGTTTTGTTTTGTAAACTGCAAAGCAGGAGTTCCCTAACTTGTTAGTGGCTTCTCACGCACGAAATTTCAAATAGCACCTCAACGCGGAAGTAGAAGATCGAACTTTTACTGCATAGATATCGGACAGGAAAGCTATTTCTACAATAGAGAGTTACATCTAACGTTTGAAATTCGTACCTATTTCTTGGGGATGCTCGACGAACTATTTTTTTCTTGGCACGTGTTACTAGCGAGACAACGTCGCGTAGAGGGTGGTTAACGGGTGAACACGAGGAGGTAAGTAGGTTTTATAAACACGTCTCCCAGGGTAGTTTTTGTTAAATTAATTAACGCATGGAAGGCAAGTAGAATAGGGTCCTCCATGCGATATTAGCTGTTTTTTGTCGCTTTCATTCACGTTGATAAAAAAACACTAGTAGGAGGTAAATTCAACGATAAGCTTCGCTCAATCGCATCAAAATAAAACCACCGGCGATTGTTCCGTGTAATAACTAAAGAAAAGACACAATTCAGATATTTTCACTTGGTGTCTTATCAGGGGAAAAATCAAAATTCACCCTCGGAACCTTATTCGTGTGTAACTAAATAAATTCATCTTAATTAAAAGTTTACATCATTATATTTACTCACTAAAATTGTTCATGAAAACGGAAATAATGGTCAGACATATATTTCTGTGCTGGTCTGTACTCGTCGCAGCAAAATTCAACTGAGTTGCACTTAAATATCAAATGTAACTTATTTTTAGACCAAGAGATTTAGGGTGGATCCTTATCATCGTTTAATCCACGAAAATTGCTCAAAAACGCACTTTTGCGTCCAGTGATTACAGCTTTTATCATGCCCGTGTTGCCGAAATTAAAAACGGAGGTTTATAAGTAGGTAAGTAAGCTTGATCATAGACGAATGCAGTCAAATATTTCCATCTGGGATTATGCAAGCTTTTGAACGAAACAAATCAATGCCCATGATGGCTTTAACCGATTGCAATGTGGCAATAAATCAACTTAATCACGTAATTTTTAACACAGTCCACAGAAACATGGAAGACAGAAAACGTTTCAGGCCGCTTCTTTTCAGTGAAAAATTGGTAGATCAGTGTGGTTCCAAATCAAAATAACTAACACGTTAGCATTATCTCACGATCTGTGCTGATGAGTTATCTTACCAAAGGAAATATCTTTGTCAAGAGAAGACTGTTTGAAAGAAAACATTTCAGTATCAGTTATGTAATCGCGCTGAAAAAACTTATCAATTCTAAGCAGTACTAGACGGGAACTATATCCTCTCGCAAATACTGGAAGCGTTTGTATATCGGTGGATGAATGCGTATTTCACATATTGAGGGAGCGAAATTTCCTCCGAATGTTCACCTTGCAACGTGGAAAACAACGCATTAATGTAAAAGAGCTAACATTTAAAATTAATACACACGTGGCCCTTACCGCTAAGAAACTTTATTGATTAAATCAATTCCCAGACAATTGAAAGCATTATCATAAAATTTGATACATTTACTTTACACATCTGCATTGTTCGTCTGCCTAAAACAAAACTGATTTCAGACACTGGTCAGATTTCAATTTCTTTAACACCCTAAACTCTACCTGAGTTCAAGAATGTAGAAACTAATCACTTTAAAAGTATTTGCTTCGAAATTACTTTCGGCTTTTTATTCAATCCGATGTTAGCCTTTGTGTTTCTTTACTTGCCCAGTCTGCTCTAATTAACATTAAATAGAGTACACAAGCTTTCGTACAACAAAAAATGGTAGCTTTTACCCTAGATGGTCTGATAATTTGTCCACTGAGCGAAATGATAAGAAGTTAATCATTGTCCGAGCAGATTAGTCGACACTACAAATAATAAGTTAAATCACTTGAAAATATATTTTCACTTGCTTATATAAATACTTCGACTCAGCTTGAGGGTCAATTCGTTGCGAAAAAGGTAAATGAAATTTACTGAGTCCATTAAAACGCTTAACACTAACAATTTGATGATTTTGAATTCTAACTCTCCTCTGCGCCTTTCTCGAGAATGAGCATTCATCCTCTGCAAAGAGGTACTGGGCCATCGCTTTTCTCGTGATCCTTTCTTTAGAAATGCATATGTAACACTTAAAATCAAACAAAACAACGTTTCAAAGACATCTCGATGAAAGCTCTTAAATGTATAAGTGCACAAAATGCGTAACTAATCGAGTCATGATATCATCTTTCATGAGGATCAAATCTTTTTTATTGTTCCTTAGATTGCTATCAGAAAGCACCACATGACCGTCATTGTTAGTTTCCTCCATAGAAAGTTCTTTCCTCTTCTTTCACAAAAATTGTTTATCAGAGGAGTAATCCCTTGAAATCAGGTATCCTTTTTTCCAGAGGCATCATAAAACTGAATGCAATAAAAATGAAACTCTACTTCAAAATTAATCCGCAAGAAACGCAAGGCACAATGCAAGCTTGACGGCAAGCGCCCAGTTCGGAAGCTTAAAGCAAGTGGAAAGAAACATTATTTTCAAACTCTTTTGCTCTCGAAAAAAACTATATAGCCTGTAACTGTAACAACGCATTGCCAGAAATGTAAGCTTTAAAATCCTGGTGTAACATCAAGTGTAATACCTTAAATATCACTTGACCCAAATTGAAGAAACAAATGACGCACGAGCTTGCAATAAGTAATGGTATAGATTTTCTCGTCAATGCAACTGCCGGCTTGAAATAAACCGCACAATGTTGAGAAATTTCTTCAGTTTATGTTGGCTTGTCAAAGAGAAAAATCCATGAACGTTAATCTTTGCATTGGCCATGTTCATTTTCAATCCACTCGCTAATCAACCACCGCCCACTTGAAAATATTATCACATTTTTTACGCCTTGGATCTGAGAACATTTAAATTAGTTACGCCTTTGAGTACCGCACGATAACAACTGCTATTCTTTCAAAGGGTAAAAGAGCTCATTCAAAATCACCGAACCATTATCACTTACTTTGAAATTTCACGTCGAACACTAGTAATCTGGTGATGTCTCTTTCTGAGTATTTATTAAAAGCTCCTTCTCAAAAGGTAAAGTTCTTATCCTTTTGTACCATGAGCTTAACGCAAAGTTAACCATTCAATGAAGAAAGGATTAAAACAACAAACTCCCTAATTAATCCTTTATTCTAAATGCAATTATCACAGATAAAGCGTCTTTTCGAATCAGGTGACCCTAAAGAACAGTGAGAATAGTGCTTCTTGAGGGACTCTATGAATGACTTGCAGTGTGGCCTTTTGTTTACGCCATGTGCTTTGTCACAGAACAAAGGTGTTCATTTGTTTACTTAACATCAATGGAGTCTTTCTGCTCACAGGGTTCGCGGGGTGAAATTTCAATTATTTCATTTCTATTTTCGGATTAATTTATCACTTCTGAGTTTAGAAAGGTGACAGAAAAGTCCTTTCTAATTGAGGCTCTTGGCGTTTCTGTGTTCTCGTATAACCTGTTTATATCCTTGGTTGACTAGCGACGACGTTGAAAGGTCGCGTTTGACTGAGTGCCGATACACGCAATTGACTCTCTCCAACATTTCTTATGCAAAGTTTAACAAAGCTTTCAGAACCAGCTGAAGGTTTAGGTAAACATGTAACATGACGACATGTTTTTGCTAGTAGAATCCGAGGAACCTATTTTGTTAAATTTCTTTTGGCTTTCATAGCCAGTTTGTCAATTTTTAAGGCGAAAAATTGATCGATAATCCAGCATTTCTCTTTAATGATACTTTGATTCAAGAGGATGGTATCAAATCACTGCGGCCGAGTCGCCATTCAAGCATGAATGGAAACTTTGGACGTGAAGAGTACATCTTGAAGCATATGTTGTTTCTTTTCACACTTCACTCAGCTGTCTTAAAAAAAAGATTGGGACAGCGTGCTCAAGAAATCAGAATTAAAATATTTACTCAGGTTTTTCAGTCAAACATTTTCCTGCATTAGACAAGTTTTCTTTCCGTGTAACTGTTAAAACTTGGGGTCTGTATTCAGTTCCCCTCGATTCCTCACTTCTGTTCAGTGCATTGGCCAGACTGGAAAATCCAAGAGGCACCTCCTCGCAGTAAGACATCGACCATATGCGAAATTAAAGCATACAATAATAAAGCTGCCTGCAGTCTTAATTTCTCTCACACGTGCTCGTCTAGCTTATGGCTAACAGCTGTTTCTTTTCGACTTCCCTGCACTTCATCGGAGCACGAAAAACATCTGTGTGCCCGGCTGGCCAAATTTATATTTAGGTCCATAAGTTCTATTGGAAAACTAGATGGCAAGGACACTTTCAAACAATAATCTTCCGTATCTAAAAAAACTAAGTTAAATAACTTAAAAAAATGCTACCTTTTGCTGTGAGAGTTTTCTCCATTTATCAAGAACGCCTGCGAGGGTGTGTTGTTTAAGAGTCACCTGTTAGTTAGTCACTCCACGTGCAAATCTTGCCGGCAGAGCAGCATATATACCGACTGAAAAGAAATCTTTACTCTCCTATATTAATGTAAGTTTGAAGGAAATATGTTGGAGTTGTCTCCTTTATAAAACTTCTCGGGACAGAGAGAAATTCCATCTGGTCTGGAAGCACAACGTAAGGATCCAAGAGTTTGATTTCCGCCTTAAAATATATTTCATGGTAAGAAGAAGGATGAAAAGGTGAAGAAGTGTAGCAGTCAAGTAGACAAACTACATAAAGTACTAAAGAAATGGGTTGACCGGTAAATCAGTTATATAAAGGGCAAGGCTTTACCATTTTATTTTACTACTAAACTTACATGTATATCTTGGATAGAATACTCGGCCTTAAATAGACGTGACATCCACGAGTCGATGGCGACTGTCGTCTCTCCTTTTTTTTAGCTTTGGAAACGCAACACCAGTTGCAATCCTCGACGGTTCTGTACAAAAGAAGGCAATCGTATTTGGCTCTACTCTAAAAGAAGGTTACAGATATGAAATTAAAAAAAAAGGAAATTAAAATTTTAAAAATATATATTTTTTCCAGCTAACATTTCCATGGCTGTCATGTGTCATAAACAAACTTTTTTCAGCAATCAAATGGCAATAAAGGTGAAAACCTTTGTTGTGTGACTTTCATTGCTTCTAAAACTGCACAGAAGCTCTCCCGAGTAATCCTAATTGGTTTCCATTGACATTGTTGCATCCCCATTTCACAACAGACGGTGTGTAATGTTGTCAAGATATTCATTTGAACCCAGAAATTCAAGTCAGTTCTCTAGTATCTTTAAGCAGCATAAGTTCAACTAAAAAACTGTTAGGCAAAACGAGTCGCGGATCGTAGTGATAATGTTAAGTCTTGTATTTGGTCCCTCACTGCTTTCAATCACCATAAACCTAAATTAAATTCTGAAATTCATCCTTGAAAGGCCATGTTGAAGAATTGTTTAGTTAAAGGTGACATCCGATATCTGGATAATGGATTGATTGGATTACCTAAATGCAACTCTCGTTTTAGTCCTTTTAACAGTAAAAGATGTCACGCCAGTAACTTTTAAAATCTGAGGAACGTTTACCTTTCCTTTGACTTCTTGGGCGGACTATTTTTTAATAGAGCTTCTTAGATATTACTAGAAGACTATGTTAAAATCTGAAAGAAGATTGTGACTTTCCAACTAAAAGATCTGTAAGTTGCTTAAGTGCAATGCTCGTATTTCAACCAAAAGTGGTTGAAAACGTGGTGATGAATGGCTCAAAGATGACAAAATGCAAATTGCCTCAGGTTGTTTGTAGTGGTCGTTCATTTAGCAGTCTACTCAACGTTGAGCCTTGGGGTTTCAGATTCACATAGTGATTGTGCCAATTAACGTGACGTGTTCGATCCAATTTCCATAACAACTCAAATCGAGGTTTCCTTTACGGCAATCTAGTGAAAGCGAGTTTGACTTTTCTTCAGCGAGTTTTGATGTGTGCCGGGAGGAAAGATGTAGTCGAACATGGAAATGGTAAATTATGAAGTTAAATTTACTGCTTTTGGATTGGGAGCCAACTTTGATTATTACTCTATTAACAAAAAACTAACCAAATCCATCAGTATTAATAAATATTCGAAAACTTAAATTTCAAAGGAGTAGCTATTTTCTTTCACTTCCAGATAATCTGAGCGTGTTACCAATGATTTGGCTTTTCTGATCAAACCAGCTAAGCTCTTCTCGGAACATTTGTTTTAATATCGTTGAAATGAAATCATTACACTGTTATAACTAAAGCATGTAAATAATGACATTCGCCACGTTATCAAACTTTTAACGGTTTGTCATAAGCCATTGCGAGGGTATTGAGGGCTAAGGAAAAAACACGACACATTCTGCAAAAAACTTAGTTGCAACAGCGCCACAGGAATCTAAAACAGGTTTGCTTGCGGTCTCGGTTGAATTGGTGCACGATCGTTTCAATTCAATACGTAATGTTTGCTGAATAACACACATGGTTACATTCTCAACTAAAAGTTAGGCATGCAAGTGCACGTGTTAATTGGCACCGAGATGTTGCAAGGAACAGGCTCGAGGCTTTGGGAAGAGTAAGGCCGGAACAGCGACACAAACGTTTTAATGAAATGTACAACTCGACTCCCACGATTCAGCACAGTGCAAGAGCCTTTAAGTTTGAGATTTCCTCGTTAATTAGGTATTGCCTTAACTTTTTTACTACCGCGGCAGGGATCAATATGTAAGTTCTCTTTTTAATATCAATCCATATCCCGGCGAATGTGTGATGAGAAATATACAAGTTTAGACAATTTGGAGGATATATGAATTTCAGGATGGAGAATTTTGTGGTCTAACTCACAAAATGACGACGAAAATTAAAACTTTTCCTTGTTATAGGATACTTCCTAAAATCACTTTTCATTGTATCTGCGGTGTTTTCTTCCACTTGACGTAACGCGAGGCGCCTATCCAAGTATAGTTAATCGTCAGTTATAATAAATAAATAGATGAGAGCAATTTTCAACAGTCAAATTGTGAATTGTTGTCTTTAAATCTGTCACCTGTTTAACCTATAACACAGGCTTGAATTTGGATCCGTGAAAATGGGAAACAAAGGCTTGGGTTTGTCAACTTCATGATTCGACCAGTAGTTTTACAAGGAATCCTCGGAAACGTGCACATTAGTTTTTATTGATAACGCGTTATAAGGAAAGGTTCTTCTCTTGATTTCGTAACTACTTGTAAAACATATTAACAACACAGTCCGCTGGCTCTTGCATTTAGTTATCAAAGTCTTCTGCTGTATGCAGCAGCTTTGAAACCCAAGATCTGTGGATCTTGGTTAATGGAACTCCTGTTTGGTACCTGTCCAAGTGAAAAAGGAAACGCCCCCTTGAAGTTGCCTAGCTTTAAACGAGGTTATGTTTCAAGTCACTTAAGACATTCACTTTGTCAAGCAGATCTGACAAATGCTTATTGGAACCGCCTCCTGGTTAGCTCAATCGGCTAGAACGCCGCATTGTGTTGTGCGGGAGGTCGAGGGTTTGATCCCCGGCCGGACTAATATTCATGGTCTTAAAATAACCGAGGAGAATTCGCTACCTTCCTACAATCAAGAAATATATAGATATTCTAGTCTTCTCGGGTAAGGAGGAATGAATGGAGGTCCCGTCTCCTGCAGGGTTAGGGGTAGGAGACGTTAATTTCCCACGCACGAGATTACTGTGTGATGGATGTCCTCTCCTGGGGTGGAATGTGTGGGGGGAAAAGGTGAGGTCGTTACATGGCTGCCAGAGGCGCCTGATAATTCTGACGTCCGATCTCAACCTTAGTAACACTGTAGACCTTAGCAATTCAGCCTATGCTGCTATTAAGGTATCGAATCATTCACTTCACCTCACTAAACTGTGGATCTTAAAAGCGTCGACTAATATTTCATGATACAAAGTTGAATATTTTTAAAATTATTTTAGTCAATTTTTCTTCAAGTAGTAATGTTTAATTAGCATACCACTGCTACAAAGTTGATCTTGTTATGGTAGAGATAGAGACCAGGTGGCTCCCTAAGACTGAGAAACAATCGCCAAAGAAACAGAGAAAGAAAAAAAGTTCGGGAACTTACTAAGTTTTCAAAAGGAAATTTTTTTTTTCATTATTGCTAATGATAATAAAAGAACGAAGTAAAATCTTTTTACAAGCTTAATGCAACCAATACTTCACCAATAGATCACAGGCCTTATTAAATTCAGTTGTAGAAATAATGAATAAAGAGAATATTAAATTTGTGAGAGACTTTCGAATTGTTTCATCAAACCGCCATTAAGAGTTCGTTTGTGTAGCTTTCTTTGTATTCTACAATCGACTGTTGCATTTAAAGATGAGGCTTACAAATTTCCTCAGACTCACCTGAATATAAACTATCAACGACATGTTTACTTACATGCAACCAAGCAAATACTATGAGCGGTCGCCGACATCGATAAAATGATGTTGCTCTCATTAAAATAGACAATCTCATTCCGTCTTTTTCGTGAAAGTCTGCAAGACTACTAGAAGTTTGAAAATTTAAAGAGGATCAAATTGTAGCATTCTCCGTCAATTTGATGCCACCGCCACAAAAGTGTTATGTATTCAAATTCTACAATTCCATTTATTTTCTATACACCACCAGTCACCAATGACGAACCAACCTGCAGTCATTGTCAAAGCCTTTTGTTTTTCACATTGTCTCTCAATACTGATGCGTTTTTCTATCAGTCGAAAAGGCGAGCAGCTAACCCAAATACAAACGTCCTCTCATGATAAACACGATCAAAAAATTAAAAATATATAGATCGACCTCTTTCCTTTCCAAGTTAGGAATGAGCCCCAGTCTGGCCACTGATAGTGTGCGAGTTACTAATACAACTGTCTCCAATTGGATAATCGGTTCCACGTGTTTTGCATCCGTAGTTTTATTTCAGAAGACATATGTATGTAGCTTATCTTAGAACGTTCAGAAAGGACTGAGAAGTAGTAATAATGAGGATAAACTATTCGTTTTTTATGCGCTTTTTTCTCAAAACAGACAAATAGCAGCAACATTTTAAATAGTAAGAGTAGAATTGTAACTAAACAACGTGTTTAAAAAAAGTTACAGAGAGTGTGAACAATAGTGTGTTTATCTTCCATTCTATTCGCTTCAAAGAGCAACTTTGGACTGTGTGAGCAAGAAAAAGCGGGTGATTTCCCTAATGAATTTAGGTTAGAATTGAAGTTGGCTTCAGAAATTTAGGTTGAGGAAAAATTCGAAAAGTAATTATCACCACGTCTTATTTAACAGAAATGAGGTCTAGTTGATTAAATCTTCATGTTCAGTTAGGCAGCCATCACTAAGGGTGCTAAAGGCTTTTGTAGAGGCTCCATTCATTCGAATTTGAAATACGCCCCAAAAAACGTTACAAAACACATAAATAGTTTTTAAAATTTCTTCTGTTCATATGTCATCTAAAAATTGACTACACTTTGCAGTTAAAATAATGAGAACAACAAGAGGCATTTGTAGTTTTTGGAAGTTATAAACCATTCGTACCTCCTTTCATTTGTAAGAGGTGAGCGAATTGTTCCAATCCTGTCTTAACGTTGCGTGAATCGCGTTTAATACAATTTCAACAAAAGAACGACAGTGATTTCTCTCGAGATTTTAGGGTTTCATCCACCCTATTCAAACGAAATCATTTTACAAAAAGCTGGAAAACAAAAGGGATTTAGCTTCCTTGAATGCACAGTGCACGACTTGAAGAAAAGGGCATATGCTACACTTTCGACTTCGTTCTGTGACAAATTTAATTCAGAGAAAAGTAAAACCAAAAAAAAAAATAATCGATAAAACAAGCAATCGGATAGACATCTTGAAAGTCTTCAAAGAGGAAATGAAGAAAACTGCCTCTCTGATCTGCGACTGGTAGTTAAGAGAAGACCAGCATAAAAGCCCTATGGCACCTTAATTGAAAAGCTCATTGATAAAATTTATTTAGATGAACGCAGATTAGTTCTGAACAGAGAGATCGCAGGCTAATCGCTTATAACTAAATTGTGATAGTTTTGTAAAGAGAGCATAAAACAAATAGTTCATGTTATAGTTTTCACATGACTTACATGTGCAGTTCTATCGATCAACATCTTTCCTTAGACGCACGGGTGAGAAAAATGTGACCGTTTCTACTGAGTTTTACGAATAAGGACAGACGAAAAAAACTGAAAACACTAGCCTCTCTTAACACAAATTATCTTTGCGTGAAATAATCCCATTAATGGTGAGATCTAAGTCACATATCATTTTGAATTCCTTTCTAAACATTCGTATTCAAGAAAAAGAAACAGAATAGTGTCTGGTGGCAAGACTCCGACAGGTTTCGTTTTGTGTTATCAACGGGCTTTTGTCTTCGGTTGCCGTGTCGAATTGAACACGTTCTTTGAAATAACAAAGTGAGGCTGTTTGACAATGATAAAGTGAGTTCGAGCTTCATTGTGAAATTACATATCTTTTGACAAGGGAGTTTACATGATAGAATCGCTCTGTTTGATAAACGCCTGGTCGGAGTATAACAGATTGTGCCTAAATTGCTAAATCGATCCACGAAGCCAATCTACCCGTAATTCAAGATGGAAGAAGTCAGCGAATTGGCCACGCTGACGGCCATAACGATGACTACAAATTCAATTGGTTTATTGTTTTTATTGTATGAATAAACACTTGAATAAGCTACTAAACTATACAACTTGGTTAATCTTTGTTAAATTCATCTTTCAATATGTCCATTAAAGCGATGATAATTCCTTTAGACCCGGTATATAAATACAACTTACTACACAGACTCACCTCTGCTTCATAAACTTAATTTGTCCCAATAAATGAAAAGTAAAAAAAGTTACAAAGGGCTAAGTCTCTTTTTTAACGAATATTAAAGTACTTTAAGTGATTCCTATTTTATCAACACTAATGTATAGAAGTGACCATCTCGGCACGGTGAAATTCTGTGATTACGAAACGATGTCGATATATCTAAAGAACAAAAACAGAGCAATTCTTACTAATAACCAACATCTGGCCTCATCATAACAAAATCCATTGACGATCTGGGGATGCCCGTTCTGCTGTCAATGGCAGTAGGGGCGTGAACTAAGGATGACGATTCCGGCAAAACGCTTCGATGGTGAACCACATGTCCAACTTGCATAGAATGTGACATGGAGGGGTGATGGCTTGAGTAAGCTATGGGAGGTCCGCAAGAGATTTCTCTGCCGACGAGCGGTAGATGGGTCGAGCAAGCTCCTTTTATTTCGGTCATAGGCTGCACAACCGGGTAATGAGGAGCGAAATGGTACGGCGGAGGAGGCTCCGCTAATGTACAGTTTCCTGAGCAATTGCTAAAAATAGGACCTGAAGGCACCAAATGGCCCGGCGGTAATGGGCTACAAAGCGACGAAGGAGGCGGATATCCCATCCCACTCATGTCGTGATAGCCATAAGGATTCATGCTTTGCGTTTTCAACTTGGTTGTTGCCTTGGGTTTCCTTTTAGGTTGATATTTATACTCCGGATGGTCTTTCTTGTGTTGTTCCCTGAGTCGTTTCGCCTCGATCACGTACGGATCTTTTGCTTCGGGCGAGAGTGCGTTCCATTCAAGTCCAAGCCGCTTACTGATTTCAGAATTCAACATTCGAGGGCATTCCTCTGCGATGCGCCTTCTCTCTTTGCGCGACCAAACCATGTATGCATTCATGGGCCGTTTTATGTGCTCACTGGGTTTTGTCATGTTTTGTTGATCTATTTTCAAGTGGTACAGTTTCCAAAACGTCGATGCGAATTCACCGCCAAGTGGTTGGTAATACAGTGAGTGCGGTCACCCTGAGACGTTGGCTTTTATAGGTCGTCCAAGCCTCTCGTTTGTGGATAGGACCACTTGGAATGAAAAGAAACCACGTTATGAACAATGGAGGGCCTCAATGAGCTCCCACAGAAGTGGTTCATAATAAGAATCTTGACGGGTATACATTATTGATTTGGTAGAAGAATGGGTTACCCACATGAATTTAACGAGCAAGAGTTCGATAGAACAATAGAAACTAGAGAACGTTAATGAATAATTAACATGGCACGATGTGCTTGTAAGATGAGTAAATGGGGAAAAAGACTGGTGGTGGGAACTCCCATGGACTGAGTGAATTCATGGTTTGAAGAACTGTTTTAAGGACGAGTGTTTCCTTCAAACGTTTTATTTATTAATTTACAATGAGGAAAAATATCTTGTCTGGTGCGCCAACTAATACTTAACGGTTCCAAAAATAAAGTGACTGCAGATCTTATGAGACGGAATAAAACAGTCGGATGGTTTTTGGCAAATACGCACGGCGCCGAGGATATCTAAGATTAGCCTAAGAAACACGCTGTCTGCTGTACTCATTTGCATTAAAGACGTCCTTGTTTTGACTTTGAATGAACAGATAACAAAAACAGTTTTGCATAGGAAGGAGTTGTGTTTACAAATGACCCACTGTGACTTGAAAGGTTGAAAGCTAGTTTTTATTTAAAACACAATATTTAACATGAGGCTAATTTTCCCTGTTAATTCAGTACTGTGGGGCTTATCGCTACTGTATGAACTGGCCCACACAAAACAATGTATCGAGACCTTCACAATCCCTATTCAAGGTACGTTAGTTCGCTTTTAATTCACGCGGACAAAACCAGTTTTAATTTGGAATTGTTCAAGACCTAAACGGTAATAAAATTTAGGAGAGGACCACAAAGGCGTTGTTAAAATTGCACTCTTTGTTTCACTCAAGCATGAAATTTGTGTTACGAAAGGATGTCAAGACATCAATATACACTTTTTTAAACCTCTTCATTTTGACTTTAAAACGTCGTAAGGCAGCGGGTGGTTTTTATTTTCCTTTTCGGTTGGTGTGACAAGAGCCATTTTAATGCAATTTTCTCGGCTTGTCAAAGGTTGAATTTCTATGTTCTCTTGCTATAATGAGGGCATTTCAATTACTGTGTACACAATACACAATACCTATACGAACCTGTATATCGAGCTAGACGGGTGTATTCAAGGCCGCACTGACGCATGAATCAGGAGCATTTACTTATCAGACGTTCAAACATTATCCATTGTGAATTACGAAAATGCGCGCATCCTTTACACAATTTGCGTTAAGTAGATTAACACTCAGGTTTATATCTCGCGCGTGAGGCGGAAATCTACATGCCCGCTGGGCACTTGAAATAGTGAAAAAGAATCAGCTAAGCGTAAACCTGGCTCAACAAGTTAACAAAGCGGGCTGGAATTACATCTTCATTGAAGGATCAGATATGAAATTTATAAAGGAAAACACGTGCCAGTTCTACTTTTCAGCTGGCGGTTTCCGAAAATTTATCCACTCCCCAAAGGCAACGAATATCCCTCTTTGTTAAGACGGTTTGATTCGGCGAAATAATAGGAAAGAAATTGCATCTTCTCCTTTAGTGATTTGTTTTCGAAAATATATAATACTTGCCACTTTTTCAAGCAAATCGATTTCCGCAAGACAAAAGCGAAGATAATTTTCTGTCTCTACTCGGTACAACATAAACAGGACAATATTGGCTTTTAAACGCGCCATTAAAGGCCTCGGTGTATGGCAGGTGTTAAGATCGTGTTCCCATGGATCGAGTTATAGAAATGCCACAATGGCCTTTGTTTTAAGATCCGCTACGAAGTTTTGCCAAATTCACCAAAACAACTCTCACTCTGAGCTGCGAATGGAACGTGACTTCGGTCAAGAATCATGTGAGGAGCAGATTGTTGCTTTTTAGTCACCATAACTGTAAATATCTTAACACAATGTCAACAGAACACATAAATATAGACAGCTCTCGAATGGACACGCGGTACCCCGTAGAATTTCCTTATGAAATCCACGTTGTCAAGTCGTAGGACACAACCGAGAGTTTTTTTCATTTTAATTTGGACCAACTGCTACGAGACTCCACCAGCAACTGCGGGAGGAAATTTGGCAAATGAAAACATCGAATTAAAGGGCGAAAGTCGTTTGGTATCTCACAGAGCAGATCACGTGTTTAACAGCGCGACTAAAATAACATTTTGCACACGAAAATTTTCGACTTGTGGCGTATTAAATCCCGGCAAGCTCATTCTAAACCTTGCGCCAGCTATTTCACTGGACAACAATTGTCTTCGAAAGAGATAGATCATTTTGTAAATATATTCGGCCAATTTGGAGCGTTAAGAAATGACGTTATCGATCAGGAAAGGACGAATATAGACTGATTCGACGGAACAACACGAGGGAAAAATATTCAGGTATTGTCTTGACAAAACTAATTGTATAATTGGAATTTAATTTGAATCACGTTTTCTGCAATTATTAATCTAATGTGTTGATTATTTTCCCTGGTTTTGTTACGGCTAGGTTAAAGTACACAAAATAACGCTACTTTTGAAAGCTGCTGAACAAAGGCCTCATAATCACTTATTTTGAATGCTCGAACTTTTAGAAATGTAAAAGTCTTTGTAGAAATCTTTTCCTAATTTCGTGGCCCCTTAGCACAACCTTATATGTCAGATATGATATGAACTTTATTAAACTCTACTTCCAAAAGAATTGAAATATTTCTGCTAGTCTTTTGGCAAAGTGCTTATTTCATTATATGTGCAGTCGACAGTATTATCAGTCAAAAGCTGACTACAACTTTGAAAATGTTTAATCAACATTTCACACTATATTGTTAAAGAGGTGTTGTCTTCAATGCGTAGAGACATCTCAGCCCTTGTTATTCAAGTATGCTCTCACTTCTAAAATAAATTTGTGTTTCAAAACACAAAAATCATCTCTTAAACTTGTCACCGTGATTCAAAAGAACCTTAAAGACGAAATTGTCACCCGTGCGATTTTTCGAAAATAAACAAAAAATAAACTGCACCTACTTGAAAGGGGTTGACGTAAGACTGACAGAAGCCCATAGAAGGCTCGGTAATAAATGGAACTAGACAATGGGGGGAAACCAACGACCATTTGTTTGAGATTCACAGTCGCAATCGTGGGATTGAATTAAATAGTAAGTAGTCTCTGACTAACCTGATACCAGTCGTTGGTTCGGTTAGAAACTTGGGTAGTCATTACAGATTTAAATAGATTTTTTTTTTTAATTGATATCGAGTTTAGAGATATCCCCTTACCGAGGGATAATTTCGAGACAACGAGCATGTTTGAGTACTATGTTTTGTTCATTCCCTCGTACATTCTGAAAAGGATTTTCTTCGGGTCCCCTCACCAAATTGAGAATTAAGGCGAACGAAAGACCTGTTGTCACTCGCAAGATTTCAAATTTTGGTGGTTACCCGTTTTTCGCATTTTCACTGACATGAATAAAATAAAAAATACATTTTCATAAAATATTTCAAGTAAAGTTAGCCAACATTCGTTGTTGTCGAGAAATTGATTGTATTTCTGGCGAAAGCGTCACTCGAGCCCACTGATGTAAATGGCGTCCACATCGAAAGAATTTTTGAGTTATCTGACAAAAAAATTCAGGATTGAGAGAGTTATAATTCATTTAAGAGCGCAGATTTTGTTAGGGTACCAAGTCGGCTGGGTTGCTTAAAAAAAGAGAGAACTCTTCAACGTCGGTCTTGCTTAGGAATCAGTGCAACTTTGGTAATATAACATTTTCCTTCTTTGCTTTAGATAGAGAATAAAACTCTTAAAATATCATTACCATTTACATGTTGTGTTCAAGAGCTTTATTGCGTTTTTCTTAAAACCGTTTTTGTATTGTTGATAAGAAATGCCTTGCAAAGTCTATGTTGGCCGGTTTGAACTGATGCAAATAGGTCATTGAAACAGTTTCAACATACATAACCTGTACAATTGTTTGCAGTTCATAAAAGTATCGAACTGAAGGGCAGTGAGACAGAAAACTTCATATGTCTTGTAAAAAAATCACCTAATTATCTTTTGTCCTCTAAAGACTGGATCTATTCTCACCGCGTCCTTTTTCAAAGTATAGACTGATTGGCTAAAAACATCCCTAGTAAGTGTAATTACAAAGAATACAACGCAGATTTTTATATATCACTTAGATTAGCTCTTTATATTCTTACAGAGTCGACTGAATAAATAGAAACGGTTTCATAGAGTGATGGTTCGTTGCTCTCAATTAAGGTTTCTTCTCTCTACTTTCCGACGATGAGGCTAATTTGCATAAAAACCAATCTGGCCTTCCATAAAATGGCCAGATTTCTCTATGTGCAATCGCCTTGGACGTGCTTATGACCTTTTGCAATTAAGAGTTTGTATCCAGCTGTAAAAGTGAGACATTCGTTTACTTCATAAGAATTAGTTACTAGAAAAGAACATTACTTTTCAACTTAAATTGCCTTACAATCTCTTTTTTTCCTTTCTAAATGAGGGTGAGCACAATTTATGTTTCAATTTATGACTCATCGGAAAATAACAATATTCTTTTCAGAAAGAATGAGTCTTTTCTGTCGCAGTATCTTCATTTTGGACAACCCGTTATTTCCCATTGTTTACGCTGACGTACCTCTTGAATAATCAAAGGTTTACAATGACCCACTTCAAAATATGACAATGACAGACTTAAAAACGTGATATATACCACTATCAAGGTTTGTTTAAGCGTTTTAAAGAAACTTTTATATCGATTTTTGTCACTTAAGCTTCAACGCGGAAAGGATCTCAACAAGAAAATTGAGTTTGCCACAGAAATGAAGGAACAAAATAACGATGTAGTGCATATAAAATGCTGTCTTTCAACATTAGATAACATAACAGTTAAATTTAGAACGAAGGCAGAACACGATCAAATTAAATTCTGCGACCAGTTGTATGAGATTCGCAAACCGCGTGCTCCGCTTGCACACTAATTCTGCGGAGCCAAAAGAATCTCACTTCCTCTCTCCGTAACTGCTAAAACTATCTTTTACGTTGAGTTCATAAAGTTAGGAGATATTGTCATAAAGACAGCCGCAACAATTTGAGGTTCATAATGTTTCTAACAAACTGAGGTATTGTTTTTAAATTCCTTTCTTACGACTCGAGCAATCTGTCTAGACAACAAACTCAACAGAAACTCACTGACCAACGATCGTGGCAGAATATAGATAAAAGCTTAATCAAGTTAAACGCTAGTTTAACTCGTAATCAACAAGTAATCATTAAAATGGATTTGATAAAGTCAACGAGACCTCCTCTTCATAAAACTGTGGAATTGTGTTGGTACAATTTAATGATAGAGTGTCATCAACCCATAATGTCGTCGGCCTCTCTTTACGAACTATCAAGGCTTAAGAAAATTCCCAAATAATGAATCTGTTATTGCAATAATCATTATAAAAAAGTTTACGGTATTTATTGTTGGCAGACATCTCGGCATCTTTTGAACTTTCCATACAATCTTGCAGTTTTTCAAACCACCTGTTCGCTGTATTGTGTTGAAGTTCTTGTGGCAACGGAATAACGTTCAAATGAAACAAGTGCAGTTTTGTTCAATTGACCAAAAAAAATCCTACCTGTAGAAGCCAAAATTAAGTTGTTAAAGCTCGTTTTCTTCAACATTGCGCTGGCTATCGGTATCGTCTGCTTGATACTTATGATATAAATTGTATGTGTATTTATGTGGATGCAGTCTTGTTTTGTGGTGGTAAGTCAGTAAACTAGTCAAAGCAAAAAAAAAAAAAATGGCTGATCTCAAAACAGATAACCTTATTTGTTCCCACAATAATAAACCAATGTTTTTACGAGGTATATCTTATGTTGAAGGAGAGTGATTTCATGTAAAAATAAAGTCTAACTTCTATTCTCAATTACTGAATTTACCACGTATATGAAGTTTTTGTTCTTAAAAAGGATATTTCGTTTCAGTCAGAATGCTAAAGGGCTCATTCAGATCCCATTCAAAATTTCTTATACGTAATTGACAGACCCAGGCTGATGAAAAAAGGAAAAAAAGAGAAAAAAAAGTATCACACAAGTGAACATGAAAAGATTCAAGAGGTTAGATAAACTGAACACATTCTATTGATTATTGAAAGCTCTATTTTAGTGAATGTAATCGTTACAAAGGCTTGGCTATAGCTACACTAACAGTGTAATGACGACAAAGTGTATCGGAAAACCCAGTCTTGAAAAGATGGGGTTAAACATGTAACTGAAATCAGTGCTAACGGGAAACACTGCTACGAGCTCGAGAAACAAAGGAAATTATTTCTTGATTAATTTGTTTACAGAAAGGCATTTGGTTTGATGAGGGGGAATAGGACTTTTTGGAGTTAAAAAAGATTGTACAGAGGCTAGTGTTAGAAAGAATAGATGGAAAAACGTTAAAACATTACAAATGGTTATAAGCTTAGGAACAACTTGTACATCTTGTTTAGCTTTTTTAGCGTTTTTTCTACTTAAGATAGAATTTGTTTATTATATCAGAAAAGGTGAGGTGTTAATTTAACACTTTTATCCTTTTTGCATGCACTGATTAATATCAAGCCGCTTTAGAAGTCGGGGGTGACGAAGAGGTTATCAGCGGTTTTATTTCATCAGACAATATGACGCTTCACGCCACGAGAATAGAGGTTTTGTTCTGCTGCCTATTGCCAGCGAGAGAGGATTGGTTGGCAAACTTGTGCTATTTGACAGTACTTGGGAACAGGTGTGTAAATAAAGTAATATCAGTATCCATCGTTGTTATATTTCATCTGCTTGGTGACTCTTTCAATTTATACACTGTTGGAATAGGAACTTAAGAAATGCACGAGCGTGGCAGAAAGAAAGTACTGAATATTTCATTGTAGCTAGCGAAGTTTGCTGGTATGATTCGAGCTTGCAAATTCATCTTTGGTTCAAAATCCTCTGTAATGATCACCATAGAATTATTTTTGGTTCACTGACGAACTGTTTTCAAAACAAAATTAATAATGAAAAATATCAGACTTTGTTTCAAATTCACTTTTAAGAAATTGATTCTCTGAAAATCTGCCACCGAATCAAAGAAAGACTTCACATCTACGTCTTCATTGTTAACGTAACAACTTTCTGTAAGTAAAGAACACCTCCGCTGACGCATCTGCAGTAGAAAAACAATGCAGTTTTCCCAAACTTAAAATGACTGCCTATCTTGCTCTTAAAAGGGCAAAAAAATGTTTTATGCTGGGCTTTCAAAGAAAATTAGCTCCCAACTAAAGTTTTAAGTTATGCAAAAAGACAAAAACTTTTTAATGAAAAGTTTACTTAAACCTGTTCAACAGTTGTATTGTACTTACTTATTATGTCAACATACCTTAATTGAACCTTTTTTTGCTATAGAATCTTTCTAAGTCCCGTATTTTCGGCATTGTTTTACTTTGTATATGGCACGAAATGGACGCTTTAAATTACTAATGAGTAGCGACGTCTTGAAAAGAATCACCATAGCTTACTTTGGCATCTTAAGAACAGTACACCACTTATACTAAAACTAGCCAGAGATGCGATATTCAGCTGGGTACATACAACTATTTAGATAGAATTTACATTTCTAAACGTTAAGAATGACAGATCTACGTCAGTTACAAGTTTTCCACGAAGACAAACTGTTTTTTTTTTGGTACTAAACTACCTTGTAATTCGCCTAGGCGGTTAACGTTTATCGTGAATTGTTTCCTATAGTTTCCTTTCTTTTCTTCAGATCAATTGGAAAGTAAATATATCGAACAGTATTTATGCCGTATTAAAACCTATGAAACCTCTCTCTTGCCGAGGTTTACGCATAAATATTAAAGATGCGCCTTGATGAGAGGCAAGAAAGTCATATCTCTATTCTCAGCTCTACAATATGACTTGTTATGTTTAATGGATTGATTGCATTTCAAAGCATGGTTTATACGGGCCGTTCTTATCGTTTTCAACGACATTTTAATAATTTTAAGTATTCCACTCGGAAAGACCTGTTCATTATTCCATATATAAGGGGGTTTATGGCACTTGAGGTGTAAGCAAAGTAGGTGTAAGCTAAGTATACCCGTCGGGTGAACCATTTCTCCTTCATAATATCCATCAGATCTATGACAATACATGGAATCCAACAAATGAAGAAAGCCAAGACGATTGCAAACAGGGTGCGGGTGACAACAATCTCTGCAGGATTGAGACTGTTGAAAGAAGCCTTTGATATCTTCCTGGCGGCCAGTCGACGAAAATGCTTTCGTATTCTAGTAAACACCTTCGCATAGCACCATATGATTACTACAGCAGGCAGTAACACGAACAAGGCACTGGAAACAATGGTGTATACTTGTGCTGTCAACATGCTTCGGTATACGTTGACACAGATGGTCTTACCAGGGTGAAATATGAATGAGTTGCCATGCTGCGCGAATGTGATGCTGCTTAAGATCCCAAGAGACAGTAAACTAGCTGAGGTTATCATCAGGATAGTGTAGCCGGTAGTAAAGACCTTTTTGTACAAATCTGGTTTTATGACTCGAAAGTAGCGGTTTACTGCTGTCATTGCCATCATCTGAAGCGAAAGGAATGCCAAAAAGAGGGTCAGAAATCCTTGAAAGTGGCAGAGAAAGTCCCCAAAGATCCATTCTCCAGCAATGAGAGCACCTTCCGACAGAGGCATGGATGTAATGGACATTACAATATCACACACCGTCAGTGTTAAAACAAATATATTTGTCACTGATCGTAGATTGTTGTTCTGAAAGAATGCAATACATAGAAGTATGTTTCCAAAAAGAGCTGCTAGGTTTATAACGAAGAGAGGTGCAACATCCACCACTATCTGAAACGTTGAACGATTGCTCAATGTGTTGGGAAAATGGGGTTGAGAAAAATTGTCGTCTTCCATGTTCATAAAAGCGTTCGTTTATGAGCGAAGTTGAAACGTCTTATATTAAATATTTTCGTTTTTATGCGGACAGAACTTCTTCAGTTGCAAGCTGTGTCCTGGCCCAAAGCGTTTTAGTAGGCGATTTCCTTCAAAGCGTGTTTCGTGATCCAACCATGCAATTGATAGCGGACAGCTCACTGAAATGTGTCGTCAGCAGGTTGTTATACACGATAATCCTTCCTCGATGATAGTGTAAAGAAACTGCGACAAAAACAAAATTAACGTCCCACATATAGGGCGGATGGGTGCTGCAGGAAATAAAACAAAAGGACACCACGATGACGTCGACACGTGCTTAAATGGAGAATTTTATCAGAAGAACTAGCTAGATCCTTGCCGCTGTTTGACCGCAGAGAGAGACTCTCACGTATTTACATATCAGCCTGTACCAAACTAATGAATACCATTTCTATTGTTTGCTTATTACTGACTAGGTATGTTTAAGAAGACTTTGAAAATTGCACTGGATTCTGAATGTCAAAGGAAACAATAGACTGATCGAGAAATTTGATCTACAATATCTCTAACATCGGTGTTGACAGTTCAAACGAGATCAATTTTTTTTTATTATCTTAGATTGTAATAAAGAAACAGCTGAAAAAGAACTGTTTATGGCAAATTCATTAAATGGTCTTTCCGGGGAAAACCATTAATAACGTTAAGCGGATAAACTTCGAGGATCCAACCAGACAAAATAATGAGAATATCGCAGAAGATTCTAATGTGTGACATATTAATTTCAGGGGGCCCCTCTTGAAATGGCAACCGAAGATCAAATAAAAAGAATGTCAACTTTTAACTTATAACGCCCACTAAGCTACGAGAAAACGCCCACGATATTTGTACCCAAGGAGAAGAGGGAAAAGTAATAAATCAAAGGAGAATCCGATCACGTACGCTGTTAACCACGTATAACATTTTTAAATGAATAATCACTGCACACGCAAATTCACCGCTACAACAAATGTTTAACAAGATAAGGGATAAGCTGGCTAAAATTAATTTTCCAACTCGAGAATCCCCATGCTTCCCAGCGGGGAATCATTCGCGATAGAGACTTATACCCGGCTATTGTAGTCTTGAAGGAAAACATTCTGTTCCAAATTCTAAATACATTTTTGGACTGTTTTTTTGCAGTTGTCAAAAAGGTGTAATATCGACGCAATCAGCACTAAGAATCCTAGTAACAAGAAGACCCTCATAAAACTACGAATCAATAATAATAACTGGCAGCATTCTCGTTTGTTATCTTGACGAATGTGTGAATTCTATGACAGTCAAGAGATTAAGAATCTGATGGAAAAAGTTTTAAATTTTTCAAAATGCATCCAGTTCTTCCTAATGTAGAGTAGAATGTTTTGAAAATGTTATTATGTGGACAATGTTAATTTATTTACTGTTAACGACAAGAATGAATTCCGGGTTCCGGTTAAAAAGAAAAATTTCAATCCAAATTATTATTTCATTTCGCAAATAAAATATCTGCTATGACATCGATTGCTATCTAGTATAAAAGGATTACAGTAAAGCATTTATCTGAGGTTAAGACATCGAATTTAAAAACAGTGTGCCAACGAAATGTGTTTATATAAAGCGGAGTGCAACATTTCTTTGGATTGTCTCCTGCGCCATCAACAAAAGACAAACGCAAACGATAAACACTTTACCTATTTCAGGGTTTCGTTTCCGGAAGTTTCGCAGGTGTTTACAGAGGAAAAACCAGAAATATCGCAAAATACACTTAAAAGTTTTGATATCGTTTTCTGGCGGACTTTTTTATTAGCTAGAATTTAATGCACTGCAGCTTAACGCAAAGCGACCTTAAGGCTAAAATGAGCCTTTTTCAAAATTGTTTTCTCAAATATAAGATATATAACGTAAAAACACGCATAAGACGGAGCTGAGGAGTTTCTCGTGAAAAGGTCACAGTAAAACGTGCTGAATTCATAAACTCGTAAAGTTTTTATTTACTTATCGGGATTAATATCTGTCTGCGCCGACGTGAAAGGCAGTTCAGTTTATTCGCATCGCAGCCCTCGAAACAGTATACATTGACTAGTTTTCTACAAAAGAACATGAAATCAATGTCAGAGCCAACGCAACTCAATATTACCATAAACGCTAATAACTTTTGTTACATATCGCGATTAAAAGTTTGGCCACCATCCACGTAAAGGAAGTTCAAACAGTCTGATTCATACCCTATACCAACGATATCTATTTAATCTATGTGTCAGGGATATTTTTTTGAGAAATATTAGACCAGAATCCAAACTCAAAGTAATAGCATTACCCTTCAAGGAAAACGACACATTTTGGAAGGAAAAATTTCGTGGATCTCAAAGAAGGTAGTAGTAGCCGGCTTAAAGATTGAAAGAGTGACAGTCTTATTACTTTCAGATTAAGATTCACACTTTATAAGATATATTAGGCTCGGTTTAAACGTCAAACTTCACATGTGCCGAACTAAACTCCAGTTTGGGTCGACCCAAACTATAAAATTCGACGTTTGATTTAAACATCAAATTTAATTCTGCCCCATTTTATTCACCAACAAGAGGGAGTTGGTTCCCAGGCCCTATTTTCATTTCCCGCCTTATCCTTTCCAAAGATAGCGGATGTTGGAAGCTTTTCCCGCTCTGGAGGTTTTTTTTCTTTATAAAATGATAAGTGCCAACAGAAGGCAAAGAACTTTTATGCAAATGACCTTACAATATTTTACAGCAAGAAGAAAGCGACTTCTTCAAATTTCCTTAGTTCTGCTGCTGCCAATCTCAGCGCACAGACACAGTATCTCTTCTGTTCCTCGATCAGTTCGATCTCGAGTTCGATCTTGTCGTCGTTTGAACCGGAATGCTGGTTGGTGGCAGAAGGTTTGGGGCAACTATTCTGATATGAGGTTCAAAGTAACTCTTCGAGTTTTTCGACAAACTTTTAATTTTATTTTAAGTCACATTCGGCACCGATTCGAGAAACAAACAGTGACAGAAGAGCCGATCTCGCCAGAAGAAAGACTAGGCATCTGCCTATACAGATTAGCGAGAGGCGACTACCATTATACGATAGCCGAAATGGTAGAAAGGGGTGTAGGCACCGTGAGCCGTATTGTGCATGATGTCTATGAAGTTCCGGTTGATGATTTATGGACTGAAAGTGTATCAACTTTTATGCCATGTACCCAGGATGAATTTAAGGCAAAAATGTTCGACATGGATGAATTTTGGCAGTTTCCGTGCTGTTGGGCAGCATTAGATGGCTGCCACATCCCAGTGAAATGCCCACCCGGAGGTTTGGAAGCCTGGAGGGAGTATCACAATTTTAAAAATTTTATTCCATTGTTTCGATGGGCATGGTGGACTCACACTACTGGTTTGTTTGGGCCAGCTGTGGGTATCCTGGCAATTCCCATGATGCAATAATTTTCAAATCAACACATATAGGGTGGGCAATCCAGGATGATGATTTAATACCCAATATTGCAAAATCAGTTGATGGGATAAATGTCCACCACTTATTTTGGGTGATTCTGCCTTCCCTCTCCAAACTTGGCTTGTGAAATCCTACACCAGTGCAGTGCTGAGCCCTCAACAGAGATACTTAAATTATAGCTTTAGTAGAGCTCGGATAGCTACCGACAACTTAATGGAAGGTGGAGGGTTATTTTGCGAAAAAGTGAAAGTAGTATAGTTCCCATTCGCACAATTACACTTGCATGTGTTGTACTACACAACATTTGTATCACTCAGGGAGATTCCATTTCCTGGAAACTTGATTTGTCCATTACATAACAGGACCAAGAAAAGAGAAATAGGGAAGAAATTAGAAAAATATTACAGATGAGAGAGTGTAGACCGATCAATGACACAGCAAGTGAGGCAGCAAATGTCCGAATCGTATATGTGAACGATCCTTCGCAGTAAAGCACTATTTGAGCAATAGTGAAAATCAGACCTGAAAAAAATTTCAGGCCTGTACGGGATTCGAACCACTGACCTCTGCGATACTAGTGCAGCGCTCTACCAATTGAGCTAACAAGCCAACTGGGAGCAGGTCATCAAATTAATTCGACATAAACCCGTAGATGATAAATCAAACAACAACAAACATATGAAACATATGTATGAACTGCGGTTATGAGACGTATATGTGAACGATCCTTCGCAGTAAAGCACTATTTGAGCAATAGTGAAAATCAGACCTGAAAAAAATTTCAGGCCTGTACGGGATTCGAACCACTGACCTCTGCGATACTAGTGCAGCGCTCTACCAATTGAGCTAACAAGCCAACTGGGAGCAGGTCATCAAATTAATTCGACATTGCTCAAATAGTGCTTTACTGCGAAGGATCGTTCACATATACGTCTCATAACCGCAGTTCATACATATGTTTCATATGTTTGTTGTTGTTTGATTTATCATCTACGGGTTTATGTCGAATTAATTTGATGACCTGCTCCCAGTTGGCTTGTTAGCTCAATTGGTAGAGCGCTGCACTAGTATCGCAGAGGTCAGTGGTTCGAATCCCGTACAGGCCTGAAATTTTTTTTTCAGGTCTGATTTTCACTATTGCTCAAATAGTGCTTTACTGCGAAGGATCGTTCACATATACGTCTCATAACCGCAGTTCATACATATGTTTCATATGTTTGTTGTTGTTTGATTTATCATCTACGGGTTTATGTCGAATTAATTTGATGACCTGCTCCCAGTTGGCTTGTTAGCTCAATTGGTAGAGCGCTGCACTAGTATCGCAGAGGTCAGTGGTTCGAATCCCGTGCAGGCCTGAAATTTTTTTTTCAGGTCTGATTTTCACTATTGCTCAAATAGTGCTTTACTGCGAAGGATCGTTCACATATACGTCTCATAACCGCAGTTCATACATATGTTTCATATGTTTGTTGTTGTTAAATGTCCGAATGTTTGTCACAAATTATGGCTTGAAAAAGAAACTGGTCAAGTATCCTGACAATGTTGTAAACAGTGACCATGGAACTGCTTGTATTTGCTGGAGTTATATTTTTGTTATGTTTTTTACACTCAAAAGGTCTACCTCCCCATATTCAAATGATGCCACATTGCAAAACCTCTATGCAGCAAAATTATCAAAATTAAACATCCCTGCAAAAAACACAGTTTTTAACAAACAGAACATTAACTTTGAAATACAATATGAAAATATCAATTTCTGCAATGTCTACCATATCTTACAAGTACACTCATATGTTGCAGTAAACTGCACGTATAATTTTGTGGTCACCTGCATTACAGCTTTGAGTGACTACTGTTTTTGATGCAGTATAGTGATAAACATAAAGTCAATTACTTTTCCAAAACCTCCATATATAATTTGTTTAGTTTATTATTAAATATTACTTCAATATAAAACTTACATGATGTAAATTGATTCATCTTGAGTGATAACCTCTTAAAACAATAAATGGAAACCAAATTTTATAAAATTATATTTTCTCTTACAAATCACTTGAACTTAATTTCTCATATTCACTAATATTTTTCCTGTTTAACTTTTTAA